GAGTGTGTGTGTGTGTGTGAGTGTGTGAGTGTGTGTGTGTGTGTGAGTGTGTGTGTGTGTGTGAGTGTGTGTGTGTGTGTGAGTGTGTGTGTGTGTGTGAGTGTGTGTGTGTGTGTGAGTGTGTGTGTGTGTGTGAGTGTGTGTGTGTGTGTGTCTGTGTCCAAAAAAATAAATCAGATTTATTCATGTTCATATTTTTTCAAATGTTTTAGTTTACTTAGTTAATATTTATTTAAAAATATTTATTGTAATAAATGTATATAATTTAATTTACACAATTACAAACCGTAATTATTTATATTATTTATAAAGAGGTTCAATTATTATTTATGTTAATTATTTTTTAAATTGAATTTATTTAGTTAGTTGATTAAATTTACTTTTTTATTATGTATTTATTTTAACCCTAAGGAACAAAGAAGCGGATTTTAATGTTAGAATAATGATATTATTATGCAGGATAGAATGCGAATAAAATCGCTAGTTTGAAGATTAGAATGATATAATCTGGTGGTGACTTTTATTTTGACGCGCGAGTGCAGAGCGCTCACTTCCGGTGCCGGTTAAGTGTTTCCTGGAGACGAGCTGCGGCTGTTTTGAAAAGAACATGAAGCACGACTCTGACTCTGATCTCGACGAAAGAATCGAAACATTGAAGCAGAAGTATGCTCAGAGGCGCAACCAGGTGAATATTATTATATTATATTATAGATATAGTGTATGCACTCCTGAAGCTCACAGATATATGTATTTCTCATTGTTACATTTGTTATCAATAGGAATTCGGTATACTTCCCTTTACATTTTCATTCTAGCTCCGATTATTGATCTTCTATTATTATAAGAATTGCAAGCATTCTTTGTATTACAAGTTTTCTGAACTGTTCTGTTTAAATATGCAAATGAGGCATCATCTAATTTGCATACATTACCAGCACATGAACATCAGATAGAGCCAGGTTCAGATTCTGGTTTGGTTTTGTCTCCGCAGGCTCCAGACGCGTCTGCTGATGGACACACGCCAGACCACCGCACGGCTCTCAGAGAGCGCTACAGGACGCGTTCTGACCTGCCACAGAGGTCAGGGGTCAGGGGTCAGGGGTCATCTGCTGTAGTTAAGCTGGCTTGAGAAAGATCTACTATTTAATCATCTTCTTCTAATTCTGAGCCAACATTTGAGCTGCGTCTCCTCCTGCGACCACCAAACTCGGGTCAGAGCTTGAGACGGGTCTGAAGCTAGTAGCTCTGGCTTTTCTAACTGATCTGACTTCCGGTTTTCGTAAACCAGGCTATCAAAACCAGCAGAAATCCCATAGACTTGCATTGAGACGTGTGGTGTTTTTAAGCTTAACAACTCCCCGCTGAACAACGCTGATAAAACCAGCCTAAGAACAACCGAGCTTAAACTTTCAGCTTAAACCAGCTAAGATTAGACAACTACCCTAGGCCGGTTTTAACTGGTTTTTAGCTGGCTTTTTGCCAAATCAGCTGATTTTAAACAATTTGTGTTAGCAATATGCAATAAATCACGTTAAAATCATACTAGAAACTTGCTAGCAACATGCTAGTAACATGCTAATCATGCTAGCAGCATGCTAATCATTCTAGAAAACATGCTAGTAACATGCTAATCATAATAGAATCATGCTAATCATGCTAGAAACATGCTAGTAACTTGTTAATCATGCTAACAACATGCTAGTAACATGCTAATAATGCTAGAAGCATGCTAGTAACATGTAAAATATGTTAACATGCTAGAAACATGATGTAACATGCTAATCATGCTAGAAGCATGTTAGCAACATGTTAGTAACTTGTTAAACATGTTAACAACATGATTGTAGCATGCTAATCATAATAGAATCATGCTAGAAACATGCTAGTAACTTGCTAATCATGATGGTAACATGCTAACAGCATGCTAGTAACTTGCTAACCATGCTAACAGCATGCTAGTAAAATGTTAATAATGTTAACCATGCTAACAACATGCTAGTATCTTGCTAATAATGTTAACAACGTGCTAGAAACATGTTAACAACATGCTAGTAACATGCTAACAACATGCTAGTATCTTGCAAATCATGCTAACAACATGCTAGTAAAATGTTAATAATGTTAACAACATGCTAGTAACATGCTAACAACATGCTAGTAACTTGCAAATCATGCTAACAACATGCTAGTAAAATGTTAATAATGTTAACAACATGCTAGTAACATGCTAGTAACTTGCTAATCATGCTAACAACATGCTAGTAAAATGTTAATAATGTTAACAACATGCTAGAAACATGTTAACAACATGCTAGTAACTTGCTAATCATGATAACAATGTGCTAGTAAAATGTTAATAATGTTAACAACATGCTAGAAACATGTTAACAACATGCTAGTAACTTGCTAATCATGATAACAACATGCTAGTAAAATGTTAAGAATGTTAACAACATGCTAGAAACATGCTAACAACATGCTAGTATCTTGCAAATCATGCTAACAACATGCTAGTAAAATGTTAATAATGTTAACAACATGCTAGTAACATGCTAACAACATGCTAGTATCTTGCAAATCATGCTAACAACATGCTAGTAAAATGTTAATAATGTTAACAACATGCTAGAAACATGCTAATCATGCTAACAACATTCAGACTTTAATCTTTTAAACTATCTCAAACTGAAAACCGTCAAACTTTTACAACTTTTTAAAAACTTTCTGGCCTGGCTTTCTCAAGCCAACTTCAAAGTTTGTCTACGAACTGTACTCTCTAGTTAATATGATGATGATTGCGGTGGTCTTATGGTGTTCCAGTAGACCCGACAGCGCTGAAGAGGATTCTCCCGAGGAGACGGACGTGTTCTGCACAGACACAGGTGACGAGACTCAGATCAGACGAGCTCAGAGAGTCGACTCGCGCTCAGTCATGCTCCTTTATGCCTCTCCAGATGTGACTCTGCCGTCAAGCCTGGCCCGGTCGGATCAGAGCCGGAGCGCCGCAGCCGTGCACGTGTATCAGGAGATGCTGCACATTTATGAGAGGCTGCAGGTGAGACTTGCATCTCTGCAGAGATGATCTGCGCGTCAGTCAGGCTTATTATAGGAACTAAACCATTAAAAAACAGTTCTGTTGCTTAAACTTGAACTGAAATAACATTTCAGCTGATTGTTTTAAAACAAAATTGTTAAATTAGTGTAAACAATGTTTCAAAGATATTGTAATAATAACCTTTTGTTTTTAAAATGACAACGTTATGTTCAAATATGCAAATAGGGCATAGTCTAATTAAATATGCGCATACAATTTCAGAACATTGGATAAATCCAGATTCATAATTCTTGTTTGATTTTTGAGAGTCAATAATATGGAAGGTTGACATTTGTATGCAAACACTTAAAATATACTCAGTTAAGTTTTTCTAATGTTAAAGTTATAATACTAACTTTAACTTTAAATTCCATAATTATATTTCTACTCCAATTCGTTTTTTTGAAATATTAAACATTTAAATGGTGGTTGTCACAAAGACTTGACAGATTTATTCAAACATAAATTAAATATTGAAGAACAGTAAAAAGAAATGATAATGAATATGTTATATGGTACATATATTCATTGAAATGCTCCTCTCTAGAGTTTATGGTCACCGAATATGTTTTCTGAGTAAATGTGACGTTACGTGACGCATCGTTCACAATCTATAGTCGTCTCTCCGGGTTTGGAACACTGATTGAGCGATTACATGAGACATGATACAGTACTCTTTCTTTTAACATCGCTTCGGATGTTCATTCTTGTTTATTTGAAGCTGTAGCTGCTGTTAAAGCGGAGGAGACGATCAGCTCACAGCGATCTGTCACTCCACAGTAAACAGCATCTGTTAGGTTTATGTTTTGGGTTCCAGTGTCCAGTAACTGATACAATGAACCAATATTGGTTTTATTTCTGGTTTTGTGATCTTAATGGTTACAGGTCTATTCTCTTCATGTGATGTGTGTGTGTGTAATGTGATGTGTGTGTTCATGTGTGTGTGTGTGTGTGTGTGTGTGTATGTGTGGGTGAACTATCCCTTTAATTGTCTATCAGACATATTTTATTGGATTCTACTGCTCAGGAAAAAAGTTTTACTTGGTTGATACCCTTTAAAAGCTTTTTAATCTTGTTAAATACAAATTATACATTTAAAGTTTTGAGGAAAAATGGGTTTTAATTATCCTATTTAACATCTATTTTAAATTTTAGTTATGAAAATCGACGTTATGAAAACAACAACCACATTGAATTATTAAACATAACTGAATGAATAAAATGATTATTAATGCATGTCTAATATGTTAGTTTTTTCTTACAGCAATATCAGCAAGAGAAAAGTGAGCTGGAAGCGGCTCTGAAGCAGAAAACCAAAGAGAATAAGAGGATGAAGGCCAGCTTTGACTCCGTGAAGGAATTAAACGATTCTATGAAGAAACAGGTGAGACATATGTCATGTGTTTATATACAGTATATATACTGTATATAATATATACTCTGCTGTTCAAAAGTGTGGAATCAGTAAGATTTGTAATGTGTTTTAAATAAATCTCTTCTGCTCATCAAGGCTGCATTTATTTGACCAAAAAGATCAAATAAAGCAGCGTTGCCGAGCAGAAGAGCCTCTTTCAGAAACATTAAAATCTTACTTGTGTGTTTGTTTTTGCAGAGAAAGTACGAGTCCTTCACGACACACAGGAGCCGAGAAACAGCTGCTCCTAAAGCGTTCGACCCCAAACCCAGCAAACCAGAGAAACCTCAGTCAAGTAAAGCAGCAGGCAAGGTAATGTCTGTCCTGTGTTTGTGAGCGGCTCGGGTGATGAAGCTGTTTACACACAGCATCAGCAGCGCGCTCCTGCGACTGTAGAGGACTTCTGTTGATCACAGAGCATGCTGGGAGCTGTAATGAGCTCTGATGGAGCTGCTGTGGTGTGTGTTTGTCGTCAGGCCGTCACACACGGGCTGCTGCCGCTGCTGCTGGATTGGCTGGTGGACGGTCAGCTGATGGAGGTCAGAGACGGGTCGAGGCCTTCCCCGCAGGAGAGATGCGCCAGGGTTCGTCATCTGTGTGTTCTTACGCACCGACACTGAGCTTTGCTGTTAAATGTTGACGGGATTCACATGAACATGAATCACAGATCACAGTTTCGCATGATAAAATTGAAGCCTGTTTTTAAAAGCATTGCTTTCTTTACACCGTGACATTATTTTCATGTTATTTAACCTGTTGACTGTCACTGGACCACCGGTGGGCCGACTTGCCATTACGTGTTTTAAACAGTAATATCTTAGTCTGAACCTAAAGTAATCTTAACAAACTATATATGGTTTGAAAGCTTAAAGGGTTAGTTCACCCAAAAATGAACATTAGCCCATAAATTACTCACCTCGAGGCATCCTAGGTGTATATGACTTTCTTCTTTCAGACGAATCCAGTCGGAGTTATATTAAAAATGGTCTTTGATCTTGCTTGAAGCTTGAAGCTGTTTAATGCCACTCAGACCAACTTTAAGTTTATACTTTATACTTTAACTTTACAGTTACACTGTATTCTATTACGTTCTCTGCTGGATTCAAACATTAATGTACACTACCGGTCAAAAGCCTGGGATCAGTAAGACTTAAAGAAGTCTCTTCTGCTCATCAAGGCTGCATTTATTTGATCACAAATACAGAAAAAAAACAGTAATCTTGCAAAATGTTATTACAATATAAAATAATGGTTTCTATTTTAATATCCTTTAAAATATAATTTATTTCTGTGATGCAGCGCTGAATTTCCATCATCATTACTCCAGTATAAAGTGTCACATGATCTTCAGAAATCATTCTAATATGCTGATTTATTATTAGAATTATTAATGTTGTGCTGCACAATATTTTTTTGGAAACTGCGATAGTTTTTTCAGGATTCTTTGATGAATAAAAAGGAGTTATATTAAAAATGGTCTTTGATCTTGCTTGAAGCTTGAAGCTGTTTAATGCCACTCAGACCAACTTTAAGTTTATACTTTATACTTTAACTTTACAGTTACACTGTATTCTATTACGTTCTCTGCTGGATTCAAACATTAATGTACACTGCCGGTCAAAAGCCTGGGATCAGTAAGACTTAAAGAAGTCTCTTCTGCTCATCAAGGCTGCATTTATTTGATCACAAATACAGAAAAAAAACAGTAATCTTGCAAAATGTTATTACAATATAAAATAATGGTTTCTATTTTAATATCCTTTAAAATATAATTTATTTCTGTGATGCAGCGCTGAATTTCCATCATCATTACTCCAGTATAAAGTGTCACATGATCTTCAGAAATCATTCTAATATGCTGATTTATTATTAGAATTATTAATGTTGTGCTGCACAATATTTTTTTGGAAACTGCGATACTTTTTTCAGGATTCTTTGATGAATAAAAAGTTAAAAAGAACAGCATTTATTCAAAATATTAATCTTTTCTAACGCTATAAATCTTTCCCTTCACTTCTTATCAATTTAACACATCCTCGCTGAATAAAAGTTTTAATTTCTTTCAAAAAAAGAAAGAATAAAAATGTACCGACCCCAAACTTTTGAACTAGTGTATATTGTTAGAAAAGATTTCTATTTTCAATAAATGCTCTTCTTTTTAACTTTTTATTCATCAAAGAATCCTGAAAAAAGTATCACAGGTTCCAAAAAGATATGAAGCAGCAACAATTTCCAGCTCTGATAATAAAGCAGCATATTATAGTGATTTCTGAAGATCATGTGACACTGAAGACTGGAGGAATGATGCTGAAAATACAGCTGCGCATCAGAGGAATACATTAGATTTGAATGTATATTAAAATAGAAAAACGTTATTTTACATCATAATAATATTTCACAATATTACATTTTTTCCTGTATTTCTGATCAAATAAATGCAGCCTTGATGAGCAGAAGAACCTCCTGTAAAAAACATTAAAATCGTTCTGATCCCAAACTTTTGACCTGTAGAGTGTACATTCGAGTTATTAAAAAAAAAAAGTTTCAATTGGTGTCCGTACATACAGTTTTACAGTAATCATCTTCCTAGCAACCATTAATAATATGTGTATTATGAATAACTGGGATCTGAGGAAAATCCATCAAATAGAAAATGCAGTGGGAGCTTGTCACCCCTCCAAAAAAAGTGTTTGATGTCCATTCTTTGGGGAAGTCGTGGCCTAATGGTTAGAGAGTCGGACTCATAACCCAAAGGTTGTGGGTTCGAGTCTCGTACCGGCAGGGATTGTAGGTGGGGGGATTGAATGTACAGCGCTCTCTCCCACCTTCAATACCACGACTGAGGTGCCCTTGAGCAAGGCACCGAACCCCCAACTGCTCCCCGGGCGCCGCAGCATAAATGGCTGCCCACTGCTCCGGGTGTGTGTTCACGGTTTGTGTGTGTTCAGTGTACATTCGAGTTATTAAAAAAAAAAAGTTTCAATTGGTGTCCGTACATACAGTTTTACAGTAATCATCTTCCTAGCAACCATTAATAATATGTGTATTATGAATAACTGGGATCTGAGGAAAATCCATCAAATAGAAAATGCAGTGGGAGCTTATCACCCCTCCAAAAAAAGTGTTTGATGTCCATTCTGTTAAATTCAAAATAAATAGTCATAATTGTGCAGGTGTGGAATGGAGAGCGTAGACGCTGGAGTAGCAGAAGCTTGATGATGGTTGTGTTGTGTGCTGAAACGGCTGTGATTGCTGTGCTGTCAGGTTCTGCCCATGCTGGTGGAGCAGCTTCATGGAGCGGCTGCTGCTGCGGTGGAGCCGTCTCTGCTGCTGCGGTCTCTGCTGCGCTGCATCTACTGCTGCCTGCTGCATCTGGAGCGCAGCTCACAGGTACACAAAAGCAGCACAACACATGCTCTATTACCAGCACAAAACCATATTTTCATAACACTAGTTTTGTCTTTGCTTGATGTTTCCTGTCACTTACTGTGCAGACCGTCATTCTTACGCTTAGACACAGTTTTTACTCCTCAAAGCTCATTCTTACGCAGCAAGTGATACATTTGGATGCTAGATTGATTGATTGATTGATTGATTGATCATGTGATAATATGTAACGTTTACTGCATTTGTCTCAACTTCACCCTGATTTGACCATATTTAAACGTCCTCTTTTCAGCCTCAATCTTTGCATTAAAATTGGCCGATAATCTGTTTTACCGATATTTAAGCGTTTTTTCTTAATCGGATATCGGTTTTGTCATATCCACCGAAAAAAATGCTATCAGAAGGTATCTCATAATCTAGACTGACAAAAATTTGGACTCTGATCAGATTGTGATTGATTGATTGATTGATTGATCATGTGATAATATGTTAAAATTGGCCGATAATCGTTTTTTACCTATATTTTCCCTAAAAGAGTTTAGCTCCAACCCTAATTAAACACACCTGAACCAGCTAATCAAGCTCTTACTAGGCATAGAAACTTCCAGTCAGGTGTGTTGAGGCAAGTTGGAGCTAAACTCTGCAGGACACCGGCCCTCCAGGACCGAGTTTGGACAGCCCTGATCTAGACTGACAAAAATTTGGACTCTGATCAGATTGTGATTGATTGATTAATCATGTGATAATATGTAAAGTTTACTGCATTTGTCTCAACTTCACCCTGATTTGACCATATTTAAACGTCCTCTTTTCAGCCTCAATCTTTGCATTAAAATTGGCCGATAATCTGTTTTACCGATATTTAAGCCTTTTTTCTTAATCGTATATCGGTTTTGTCATATCCACCGATAAATGCTATCAGAAGGTATCTCATAATCTAGACTGACAAAAATTTGGACTCTGATCAGATTGTGATTGATTGATTGATTGATCATGTGATAATATGTTAAAATTGGCCGATAATCGGTTTTTACCTATATTTTCCCTAAAAGAGTTTAGCTCCAACCCTAATTAAACACACCTGAACCAGCTAATCAAGCTCTTACTAGGCATAGAAACTTCCAGTCAGGTGTGTTGAGGCAAGTTGGAGCTAAACTCTGCAGGACACCGGCCCTCCAGGACCGAGTTTGGACAGCCCTGATCTAGACTGACAAAAATTTGGACTCTGATCAGATTGTGATTGATTGATTGATCATGTGATAATATGATATAAAAATTGGCCGATAATCGGTTTTACAGATATTTTTCCCATATTTAAGCCTTCTTTCTTAATCGGATATCGGTTTTGTAATATATCCACCGATAAATGCTATCAGCAGGTGTTTCATAATCTAGACTGACAAAAACATTAATAATTCTGATAACGTACCATTCAAAATGGACCCTAATGTAATGTATTTTATTACTTTCCTGACAATGTGTAATTATTACTCCTTAGCCTAATAAACAACACCTAAACCTTTCTTTCAAACTGTAGTTTAAACAAATGATTACGTTTATGCAAAGTTAAACATTTTGAAAACATTAGACTTTGTCAATTTATTTAGATAATATTATTTGTTTAGTTGTTGCCATTGTAAAAAATGTTTTAAAAAGCCATCTTTTTATTATTGTGCGATATTTTCCCCATATTTAAGCCTTTTTTTCTTAATCAGATATTGTTTTTTTCATATCATATCCACCGATAAATGCCATCAGCAGGTGTTTCATAATCTAGACTGACAAAAACATTAATAATTCTGATAACGTACCGTTCAAAATGGACCCTAATGTAATGTATTTTATTACTTTCCTGACAATGTGTAATTATTACTCCTTAGCCTAATAAACAACACCTAAACCTTTCTTTCAAACTGTAGTTTAAACAAATGATTACGTTTATGCAAAGTTAAACATTTTGAAAACATTAGACTTTGTCAATTTATTTAGATAATATTATTTGTTTAGTTGTTGCCATTGTAAAAAATGTTTTAAAAAGCCATCTTTTTATTATTGTGATAAATTCTACATTTTATAATAATAACAGTATGATAATTATAATAATGTTAATTTACAATAATAAATGTATCATAAACGGAAGTAAAACAATAAATAAAGATCAGTTCTGCATATCAGACATGTGCAAATACATTAGTATCGGTTATAAACAAAGTCAATATCGGTTGATCTCTAATTTAAAAAATGTACCTAGCTACACATTATTACACATTATTAAACCGCACCATTTGTACATTTTATATATTTAGTCTTGTTTGTCCATGAGCTAGCTTGTTTCTGCCGTGGAATAAAAAAAATAACTTTTTTTCTTACAATTTTGAGTTCATATTTCACAACACTGACTATTTTTCTCACAATTGCAAGTTTGCGTCTCGCAATTCAGACTTTTTCTGTCAGAATTCTGAGTTTACATCTTGCAATTCAGTTTTTTTTGTTTCTGCACCGGAATAAAACAAATAAAAAGACTGCAACTGTTTTTATAAATCTCACTATTCAGATTTTATATGACTTTGTGTCTCAAAATTCTGACTGAATTCTGAAAAGGTCAGAATTTTATTTATTTTTTTTTTTAGTCGTGCAGCGGAAACAAACTTCCTTAAGCTCTCTAGGTCTCTGGTTTGTGTCCAGTCTTCAGTTTTCAGAGGTGTTTGCGCCTCGTTTCATAATGTGCTAGCCGTTTTCTTTCATTCAGGAAGACGCTCTCAGCCCAGAACGAAAGCGTCCTGCAGAAGCGTGTGTTCTGATGTCTCTCTGTCCTCCAGCACACCGTCCTGACCTCCACGCTGAGGAGGCTGGGTGAGGAGGTGTCTCGAGGATCGCGCGTCTCTCCGCTCTTCAAGAGCTCCTGTCTCCTCACGCGCTTCTTGTGCAGCCTCATCATCATCAAGACCATCAGCCAAGGTCAGTGGTTTCTCAGCGTCTGCAGCAGGTGGCAGCGTTGTTGTGTCGATCAGCCGCGTCTCGCTCTGTTCCTGAGAGTCTGCAGTTCATCAGATCCTTTAGTTGCTCGAAAAGCCACAGAAAGTCAATTAATGCATTGCTTATTTCTCCCACCGGCTCCCACAGTCACGGAAATCAATACAATTGCGTTTCTGTAATCAGAATAAATAGTTCGAGCTCCACTCGAGACTAAAATATCTCATTAGCGTTAGTCTAATGTTATATTAAAAGCAGAGTTCACTCAGAAAGTAAAACGTGTTGAAAATGTGCATGAGTCAGGTTTGGAGAAATGTAGCGTTGCATCAGTGTCTCACTGCAAGTGAATGGGTGCCGTCAGAACGAGAGCTGATAAAAACATCACGAGTAATCCACAGCACTCCAGTCCATCAGTTAACATCTGGAGAAGACAAAAGCTGAAACACATCCAGCATTAAGACGCTTTTATCTAAAATACCATAGAGTCCATAATCCATAATAACTCTTCCTCCAGTGAAAAAGTGCATCTGCTGTTGTCTCTCACATCAAAATCCAGCCACATATGTGTTTAGAGCTGTTTAAACGCTGCTTGATCTGTGCAGATTTCTCTCCTGATTCACACCAGAACACTGACTCACTGGAGGAAGAGTTATTATTGATTATGGACTCTATGTATTTTAGTTAAAAACGTCTTAATGCTGGATGTGTTTCAGCTTTTGTCTTCTCCAGATGTTCACTGATGGACTGGAGTGCTGTGGATTATTGTGATGTTTTTATCAGCTCTCGTTCTGACGGCACCCATTCACTTGCAGTGAGACACTGATGCAATTTCTCCAAACCTGATGAAGAAACCAACTCGGATGCAGATTTTCATTTGTGAGTGAACTATTCCTGTAATCATTATTCGGCTGTTATGCATATGAATCTGTGAGTGTCGGTGAACAGTGTTCAGTTTATCATGCAGAAGTAGATTTCTGATGGTGTGTCTGTGTAATTATGTCTGATGTGCAGTGGATGTTCTGGCTCAGGCTGTGGAGGTGCTGTCCTGTGCGGTTCGCACCGATGAAGGGCAGGCTCTGTTCCTGGAGTACCAGGCTCTGCCGGTGGTTCTGGCTCTGCTGAGATCTGCCAGTCCCGCTCTTCTGGCTCCGTCGCTGGATGTGCTGCTGCAGATGAGCTCAGAATCACGTGAGAGACTCTTTCTTCATGAGCGCAGAATATGCTGTTGTGGGATTTCCACTAAACGGACTCCTAAATAGGATCATCCTGGTGCGAGGGACTCTAAATTCTTACAAATTAGTACTGTAAAAAATAAATAATATAATTTTGTGTAAAATATTATTGGAAAATATTTAGCTTATATTTCATTACATCCTTGCACCTTTGTCCTACTCACTATAGTAGTGTCCTGTTAGATGTATTATTATTATTAAATAAAATTGTATTTATATTTGATCTAAATTTTTATATTTATTTAAATCTTTTCTTATTTTAATCAAATGTTTATTGTTTGTTTTATTTATTTATATCAAATGTATTCGTAAATCACGCTTCATTCATTTTCTATTTATTCTAAATGTTTTTATTTGTTAAATTTTTGTATTTAATTTATTTTATTTTATTTTATTTAAATTAAATTGTATTATTTTAAACTATTTATTTAAATCATTTTTTTAATTGTATTTATTTAAATCACATTTATATTTATTTATTTGAATCTATTTGTTTCAATATTAATTTATTACTTGTTCAGATCAAAGTGTATTGATTTATTTCAGTCATATTTATTTGATAATTTATTCAAATGTATATTTATGTAAATCAAATTTTATTTATTTTGATCAAATTTAATTCATTTTTCTTATTAAATCAAATTTGATTTGTTTATACATTTTCATTCATTTATTTAATCAAATGTTTTTATGTATTTATTTAAATCAAAACATTTTTTTAAATCATTTTTTATTTTATTTTCTGTCAGGTTTAGTTAGTTTAGTTTAGTTTTTCAAATCTTATTATGGGACGCCAGACCCAGTTCCGCCGGTTTATTTAATTAGTGGTTTAATAATGGGTTTAATTAAATCCCATCACAGTCGGTGTGTGTTCTGGATGCAGCTGTTAGTGTGTGCAGCGTTACCATGGTTACTGTATCCTTTTCAGTCACTGCCTCTGGATGCATCACAAAAGCAGTTCTGGGATGATTTCGAGGTCTGTCTGGAAAGACTGAGGTTCTTTTATTTTGTAATGTTTAGCATGCAGTTTGTAGCTGGTTTCTTAAAGTGATAGTGCCCCCGATAATCACCTCGTTCAAACCTACGTGAACCTCGTTCAAAGCGTTCTTTCTTCTGAGCGTTGCGTGACTTTTCTTTCTTTTGAAAGAATATCAGCCCAGTCTCAGTTTTAATCTATTTATTTTAGTCAAATTTATTACTTATTTAAATGAAACTGTATTATGTTTTTATCTCTTTTAATCAAATTCATTTTGTTAAAAAAAAAAATTATTAAAATGTTTTTTATTTAGTTATTTATTATTTAAACTGTATTTATTTTAATCTATTATTTATTTAAATCAGATTAATTCATTTTAATTTATTTATATAAATACAATTTATTTTTATCAATGTATTTATTTCAAACATATTTATTTATTTAAATACAATTTTATGTATTTATTTTTTATCAATTTATTTCAATCACATTTATTTAATCAGAATCAGATTAATCGGCTTTATTGCCAAGTACTTTTTTATTTATTTTGTTTAACTGTCTTTGTTTATTTAAATCCAATTTTGTTTATTTGTTTTAATATATATATATATATTAATCAAATCTATTTATTTAACTTATTTATTTAAATCTGATTTGATTTATTCACTTTTATTAATTCATTAATTTTATTGATTTTTGTGTAATATATTATTCATTGTAATATTAATAATTTTCACATTTATATAGAAATTCTGTGTTGCATTAATATTAATTAGTTTATTAATTACTATAAATTATTAATTAATATTAATCAGCAATAATTAATATTAGAATGAAAATTAATTTAAGCTTTAACATGAATGTTATTGTTTTATTGTAGAAATAATGCCTGTCTTGTTAATGTTATGTTTTGTGTAATGAAATGGAATCAGTATGTTTTCTACTCCTCGAGATATGAAGCGGCTCTGAATCTCAGACTAACACTTCTCTGTCCAGCAGGAACGCTGTCGGCTTTTCTGGATCAGTGCAGCTCCGAGGATTTCTTCCGCTGCGCCTCGCTGTTCCTCCGTAACCCTCGTCTGGAGCCGCCGCTGCTGGAGAAGATGCTGATGCTGCTGCAGAAGCTCTCCAGCGTCCGGTCAGTCAGCTGTGAGCCTCTTTAGCTCAGTTTGGCCTTTCTGAACAGATCTGAGTGCAGTGGCTTCACTGGAACACTCCTCCTGGAGCTTCACGTCAGGGATCAGCCGCATGTCGTGCGTGTGTGTGTGTGTGTGTGTGTGTGAGTTTGTGTGCGTGTGCGAGTGTGAGCGTGTGTGTGTGAGTGTGTGAGTGCGTGTGTGCGTGTGTGCGTGTGTGTGTGTGTGTGTGAGAGTGTGTGTGTGTGTG